CTCTTCCGATGGGAAACTGTGTCTCTTCCGATGGGAAACTGTGTCTCTTCCGATCAGAAACTGTGTCTCTTCCGAGTTGAGGCGCATAATTGCGATTCACAACTGGCCGATCGGAAACTTTTGAAACATTTCAAATCGGAACAATACTTGATTTAACTCTAATTTGTATTAGAAAGATAGATAAACACTTTATTCACTGATATAACACAAATACAGATTAAGTACAAAAGAAAAAACAAAACACGATTGTCATAGCAGTGAAACGGCGCTTGTAGAAATCAGGTTCATCTTCTTGCTCGGAAACCCATCTGATTTCAAAACTCAGGTGGGCTACCCGAATTAGGAAGGCAACCAAGGTGACAGATGTCACAACGAAAGTCAAGACTGGAGTGACGCTGGTGTGACAAATTGGTATCCAAGAGATGGAAAGAGGTATGGAGGAAGGCCAATAAGAAGATGGGGAGACGACCTGCTCCGAGAATAGCGCCGGTCGGCATAAGACCGTTGCTTATGGAGAAATATGGAGGAGGCCTATGTCAGAGGACAGCCTGATTAGAACCAGAACCACACCCGGACACTCCATACAACGGTCGAAAATTATTTACCTACTACTATGTACAGCAAGGCGCTATCTGCACACGAGCAAATGTGTGCGTGAAGTGGCAGGGTTACCCATCACTTTCTCGCACTATTACGTTACGAGGTCAGAGCGGCAACGTAGCGAAAATTCTAACGCGAATCTGTTATCTATGATTCTATTAACAGAATTCTAATAATTATACATGTCTATTAGGTATTTATATTGATATATTATTATATTTTTCATTAATTCACTAACTAGGGTAATATTGAAGATTTATTTCAAAAATATATTAAAAGCACTTAAAATGTTATATTTCGGACATGTACTTTTAAGTTAGGTAACCAAGGTATTTGAAATTGCTTGTCCAAGGTTAGTTAATAATTAGATATATTCACTACCTACGTAATCGGCAATACGAATAGAAAATTCGCGAAGTCATGGCGTCTCATTATATTGATATAATAAATCTATATTTTTTATACGTACATATGTATATTACTCTGCAGTAAATAAACGAAGAAAACAATAACTGAATGAGTCTCAGACATACGTTTTTTTTATTTATTAACTCGTTTCATCTTTCGGAAAGTGATGATATGATAAACAGCCGTACACAGCACAATTCACGACCATGATAAATAGTAACGTATAATGACGTTTTATATTAACGTACAAGTGTCGTAATGAATAAATTAAAACTATATTCAAATATCAAAGCCTTCTTCGCGCGAAAACGGCTCGCCGGCAGCCTTGTTGTCGTTCAGTCAATGTGACCGGCAATGTGCGGGGCGTGGTGCGGTATCTAAAACTAGGGAGGGGCGGAGAATATCCGTTCTCTTATTCTTTATTCTCTGTCAGAACTGATGCTGATGTTAGAATTAAGAATTACTTGTACTTGGTACTCGGTGCAACGGGCTGGTATCCGCAACTCGACGACAAGGCGCCTATTTTTAAGAATTACTGTTAGAAATAAGCATTAGGTTAAACTTAGAATTAATGAAGAAGTAATCAGCGAATAAAGGCTATTTTTTTATCGGTTCTGCACTACTTTATTTAGGCCTACCATTCACTGAACAGCCCTGGGAAAAGGAGAAACCCAAGGGCGATATCAGCACAGTATGTTCAGAAAAGCAAGATGTGAGGCTGCGTCGATTTGAACCATATCAAATATAGTTAAGCGGATATATGAGAATAGGAAATCTAATAAAAATACTTTGAATTGAAATAAAATCCTATTAGTTTTTTCCAGTACAATTGCACAATGGGTCTTATTTTCTATTGTAGGGCTAGCACGACATAGCGCAACTTGTGCGAGGTCTCCATGCGAGAATAGCTGTATGTATAAAGGTAGAATATGTCTTACCTGTTTAACATCCTCAAGTAACACAAGAGCCTGCTTGTATTCTGGAGGATCGGAATTGAGTTGTTCTCTCAAAATATCGAAATACGCTTTATGCATTGTTTCTTTTACAAGCTTCTGGTAGCTGTAACAAAACCAACATCATATTGGGTAGTCTAAAATATTTGTATATTATTTCCAAGTTCATTTAAGCAATTTACAATTGCTGTAAAATAACTGTGATGCAATGAGACATAGTTGGACTTGCGAGTCTAGTGTCATGTGTAGTGTAGTCATGTCTGTAGTCATGGTTGAACAAATTGTCAGTAATATACAATACTATTTCTAAAATTTTATTTTTGGAGCCATTCTAGTTTTACAAAAGTAGACAATTGCACTGTTAACCTCTTTCCTCTTATTTAATTGTAACATAATTGTAACAAGTTATTATTTGATATTACAATAGTTAACTAATGAATCAGTTTTACATTAGGGGCAACGTTAAATTAGACACTTGTAAAAGCACCATAGTGGCGCGTTTGTGGCACGTCTCCCGCGCCACTACTAACTTTGTAAATGTTTACATAGAAATATTATAGATGTCCTTTTTTTTAAATAGTGGTAATAAATAATGTTATCAGCCTGTTTTATCACCAATGTTAATTTATATATGTATTTAAGTTAATTGTAGTTAAGATATAGCACCCTGTATTATGTCAATGTTACCTGTTGTCTGGGGGTTCAAATGGCTCCAACTTAAAATCGGTATCCATAGCAATCTCATGTGCCAATGCCATATTCTGCATGCCATGGGCAGCCTTCATTATATCCTCTAATGTCACAAACTTGGGTGGTGAAGCACCAGTGATTGTTGAGCCTCGTACTCTGAACTGCAGTGGCTCGTTGGCGAAGTAGCTGCTTCCTCTAAAGAAAAGACAGACAACAATCAATCAGACGGATGAGTATGAGCAGATGAGCTCTGTGATTTGTGCAATGAAGAGTCAATGTCGCAGCAGGTGGTTCAATATATTGATTAATAATAAAATGTTTTATCCAATATTTGCCTACAAGAACAGCTCATAGATGTACCTTAATTTGAATGTTGTTAGGGATAGTGTAAATTCGCGGGTGTAGATTGGTAAAAGGCGCGTATCTGCATTAAACCAAATTTTATAAGAGAGGGATTTAAAATTATTATTTTGTTATTTCAATGGCTATGATTCTCATTTTTGCACAGTAAGCATTAATTTATGTTGTCTACAGATTGATAACAATAGATTCCCTTACATCACGCTCATTTGGCTGCCATGACATATACGCAAATTAGAGTTGGGCACTAAATTAACGAATTTGAAACTCATAATCCAATGAAATCAATATCATAATCAAATCAATATTCCCGGACTACCAAGAATATTGATTATATTGAATATCATGATGTTCTTACTACCATGATATTATTCATATATTTTTTGTGAAAAAACTCCACTCATTTGTTATTATTATTAATACAAAGATAAAAAGAAAAAATGGTTGGATATGGACACTGTAAGACCAGAACCCATAATATCCCCTACCAGTGGTGAAGGATAACAACTATACACAAAGGTTCAAAATCTTTTCATAATAACACATGGACAACCCTTACGGTCTGTAGACAGGCGAGGGAAGCACTCCCGACGGTCAACGCTAGTCTATCTTAAAAATTAATCAAACTTAAAAGGCAAAAGCTTCACACTCTAACTGCCGCCGCCCTAACATACAATAAACACCTTTTTAATTTAGGTATCACAAACAGCCCTTTATGCAGAGTGTGCATGGAGCAGGAGGAAATGGCCGCGCACATCCTACTACAGAGCTCCAGCATGGCCAGCTACAGGCAAAGTACCTTGGAGTGCCGAGGCCGCTCCCCAAAATCTTCAGCAAACCGAGGGAGGTTGCTGAGATTCCTGTAGAAGCTTGGGTGGAACGAGTAGGACCCTGCACCCTCCACACGCAAAATAGGCACTTTCTCATTGAGTTGCGGACACCAGTCCATTTCACCAAGTACCAGGTACCAAGTAATACAAAGATCGAATTAGAAAGAAAAGAACATTTTCTTTGTGTTCCATCTTATGTATTGTTTATGGGGCTCTGTCAAATTATGATTCATGAGCAATATCACCCACTGACATATGGTTAAGCACTAGACCCTGTATAGAATAGCATTCATGGCTGTACAAAAAAAAGCTATTTTGAACGATGACATAATAAAATTTACACTATAAAAACGTCAATTAAAGAAATTTTTGACACTGAACTTAACAGCCTAATCTGATCATAGATATCTGTGTGAAACTAACTATACAGTCTTTGTTTTTAGAAAAGACAAACGACCTACGTTATTCAGCACATAGAAACAAAGAAGTACCTTGATCCAGTAGGCATTGGTTGTGACGTACTTCTTTTCCCTTCTCCTTTGTCTCCTCCTTGCGACCCTGAACCACTGGGACCCTCACGATCACACATGGTTAAAACCTTCTTTGAATCTCTGAAAAATAATCGCGTCTCTTCAACCCATATAAGGCACAACCAAAGGCTTCAAAACTTCATAATCATTGCCTTGAATCACTGTACATAACCTAACTTTCACAACAAAGCAATATAATAATATCCACTTTTCTTCTTCACAATTATTTTATATTACATTAATGTATGATCTTAAGTAAAGAAATGAAAAGTTCAATTTGCTGATTTTTTAAATTTTTCGTTTATTTCACAGCTGTTCTGTTTTCTTTCACTTGTCAATTTAGTACAATTTAATAATTGTCAAAAGATTTTTATACGTCAGTCACAAAAGTTGTGGTTTGGATATTATTATTATTCAGCCCATTTTTTTTTAATTTATTAAGGCTTTGGCAAAGCCATCAGCCTAAACATGAAGTTTAATTATGTCTCTGTAAATATGGCCGCCACAAAGAGGATAGGCAATTTGAGGCGGCGTGCTTGGATTGACTCGGGATTCCTTAAAACGGGCAGTTACGGGTATTTTAGTTCGAGATTCGTATAATTTCGCGTTTTAATCTTCGATTAAGGCACAATAGCACTATCCTATTCCACTTTAAACTAGATTTCACAAAATAATTGAAAGTCAAAATAAAAACGACACTTTTCCCTCCAAAAGGTCCAGGTCAAGGTCCATTCAGCCCATATTAAGTTAAGGGCTGTTCCCACGGGCGGGCGTGTTGCGTATAACTGCGAGTAAACTGTAAAACTGCTGCAGGTTTATTTGATTAGGTTGATGTTGTTCAAACCTTGCGCCAGTTCTTGATATGCTACTTTTAATCATGGAGAAAATAGATTAATGTAGAAAATAAATCCATTATGTTGAATTTAGACAATAATAGAAAATGTACGGCTATGTTTTGATAAAATACTTGATGGAATAATGCAATGTATATATGTACAATGATTGTATACAATGTACTTATTATTTATAATGCAAAATGGGCATAATCTTATTATCATCTTGGCAATAATTATGTCCCAACGAACGAATATGGCTAGTAGAGTGTACAAAATATAATTTTATTTTTTAATAATTGTTGAGCAAATATTTGATGCATGCTCTGATTCATTAGACTTAAAATATAAATAGACATTATGGAAATTACGTTCCGTATTCGTTTGCATGGTCAATTGGTCAAGTTTACTCACTGTAGCTCGGCCGTGTAGCCAGTCCCCTATAGAAAGATTAAATGCCTCGGTGTCGGCGCCGTGCATCGTTTCATACTGGTTTAATCTTAAAAATGCTTGCTAGAGTCTGGCCAACGAAAGCTGGCACAAAAAAAAACGCAAATTTGAAAAATCTTGTACTTGCAACACTATTGTAAGCAGTCAGGCAAACTACAGGCTTAAGACTTAAAGTTGTCTCTCCTTCGAACGGTCAATTTTCTCTCTCAATTTCCTTTCGTCTTCGGTCCATAATAGAAACTATCGAAGGTCTACTTAAGGTCGTATTTCAGAACTCTACTCAATGCTCAAGTCAGGACTTGAGCAGACTTGAGTATGATTTCAAGCACTGGAAATACGACCCTAATAGAAAGGACTTGAGTATGATTTTCAGTGCTTTAAATCATACTCAAGTCCTGACTTGAGCATTGAGCAGAGTTCTGGAATACGACCCTAAGAGGCTTACAGAATAATCGCCTGGGCACCCTTAACGATTACACCTTGTATAAAGATCATTGCTTCCTATACCTACTCATTGATCTACCAATATAATGCATAGATATTGTTGCATTGCATATTGCATGCATTGTTGCTAATATAAGATTTATTAATGAAATTTAAAAGAATAAGATATTGGTAGTTTTTAAGTATGTAAAACCACGACGAAAGTGTACTTTTGCGAAATACTGTTTGTTTCCTTTGTAAAGCTGTAAAGCTCCTCTCCTCCTTTGTGATTTATGTAATCATAAAAAATATCGACAATATTAGTCGATAGAGTTACAAGAATTGATGACGATGTGGGTTATATTTTTCTATATCTAATGGAGCAATAAACATTTTTGACGTGACTCCATTTGTGCTATTCTTCCATCAGGGCTGCGATATTTTTTTTAAATACTAAACAACATCTTATAATAATATTATGTTGTTCTGATCTCAAAGTAACTAACTAAAGCAAAGTAAGTGTTATGGAAATCGGAAACAACACCGGTATCTATCACAAACACCCAGACCCGAGACAATAATAAAAAGTTTTTTAAATTGACCTGGCCGGGGATCGAATCCGGGACCTCAGAGATGGCGACACCATGAAAACCACTTTATAAGTCACTCGACTACGGAGGTGTTCTCAATGTTTTTTTAGATACAATATGATATCTAGGCTTATTTAACAATCAATCTGTAACATCTTGTACTACCACTTCTACTGTTAGGTATACGCTTCAATGTTAAACAAGGTTGTAGAAAGGGAATTCCTGCCTACATAATTTAATAAAATGTATAATGTATTACACAAAGTAGATTATTTTCTCAATGCATCAAGAAACGAAGAACTGCTTTCTAGACAAAATGAAAGAAATGCAGAGCCAGGGGCAATCTAACTTCTTCACAGATGAAACTAGTAACCTAGTCCATTATAAAATGGTCTCTGATTGCAAGTAATAAATATGATCTGTTTGCCCAGGTTTACAGTTTGGACATAGTAAATTAACATCAACAGGTGTTTGTAAAATTTTTCGACCTTCGGGCAGGCTAAGGCGTTTTGGCAATCAAGGTCTCAGATTTTAATTTTTCTTCAATTAAAACTAATTTTGTATTGTATCGTAATATACTTAAACTAAAAATTAATTTGTGAAAAAACTGTAAGTACAGAAACCCGCCATTTTTTCGTGTACTTCTTCTTTTAAATGTTATGGCCCCATCGAAGTAATATATATTATATATTTATATATATAATATAAATTTAGCTGGCGTACGTTTGACATCTTACGTCAAATAGTATTTTTAAAAAAATTTTCTGGCTCTCCGCGGTTAATGTTGTAGCCAATGACAAGATAATTAACTTTATTTTGATTAAGGAAACCGCAAATAATAATCTCAAGTTGCTTTTTTTCAAAACACACAAAAAGTCTCTCTCGATAAACTTTTACGAAGCTTGGGACAATATTGCCTTTATTTGTATGTAATGTTAATTAAATTTCCAAAAGGTAAATAAAAAAGTATAAGTAATACATAATAATATGTATTGTATTATATACTCCCAGACACATAATTCGAGCCACCTCGCATTTTCGTCGTAAAGGGTTAGAATACAAAAATAGTGTTATCGAAGAAAAAGTTTTCCCCGGTTTTGCAAATCCAAATTCCCAACAAGGACTTCTGGAAAAGACGTTTAGTATATATACTACTTACAAAGTTGCATAATAGTTTTTGATCAATCAAACATTGTTTAAGCTTTTCTTTGTTTAATACTGAAAATGCGTGGTAACTCGAAATATGTGTCCGGAAGTGTATTATTTTATATTTATATTTAACACATAAAACTTTAAAATTCCTTTTGTAAGATACCTTTGTTATCGGCTATTTCTCGAACTGTGCGATTAAAGAAAAGTTTGTAAAGATTAGTAATTATGTCAACACTTGTCGTAAGCAACCAATAACTACAATCTTCAGACAATCCTTTGGAAGTCAGAGCTTAAGGTATACTGGTTATAATACAACTAATTTACCTACGCAAACGGTTGCCTGGAAGGCAAATTGCTTTTTCTCGACTACCCTCATTTCCAACTTAAGATTTACTTTCCTTTGCCGTCTGTTAGTTATAATGGACTTGTAACTTGTTTGAGTGTTACTCTATGTATTTATAAGTTGTTAATTAAGAAATAATAGTAATAAACAAAGATCGAAAGAGGCAGAGTATATTTATCTAACTTTAAGTAATACATGTATAAAATGGATAATACCTCACTCTAAAATATTGGAATTATTAAAAATAAAAGACAAACAATTTAAATAAAATACCTATATAGAAGTATTAGAAGTGTTTTATTACAATTACATTTTTTTCTAAATACACTATCGTAGTGAAATAATTGATGAAAATATAGAACTAAATACAATACTTAATTCCGGTCCCCCAGATGGAGGTATTAACCTGTCTATGTGGATTATTTCCTTGAAGTGTAAGTGATTTCGGTAAATGTACTATGTGTATGCCGCTCTCTGGCAATAAGATACCAGCATCAATATCTTTATTTTAGCGACCTGCTATTTATAAGTACTGGCGTACTAGATACGCCGACCAGTACAAGCGTCATTTTACACTGAGATGTGATTATACATAACCCCTACGTTCGTTGATTTCTTGCTTGTAAATAAGTGGGATGACTTTCCATCTTGAAAAAAATAATAAATGTTTAATACTTGATAAAAAGGTCCACAGAGAAAATAAAATAAATGTAATCATTAAGTGTGCTCAGGCGATTATTCCATAAATATAAGAGATATATCAAAAAGCTTTAAACTGATATCGAAAGTACGTTGCCTAATGAATAAATCGACAATAATAACTTTTTAAAAATAAAAGTAGAAATTACCAAGATTTTTACATCAAACGCCGCCATACATTTAATATGCAATTCGTAGAGAGGCTTTAGTTTTCCTACTGTAACAGGTAACAATAAGTTAACAGATGACAAAACTGATACTAATAAAGTAATAAAACTATCTTTTAATTGAATAAAAATATAATGGCAAAAATGAATAAAATTTGTCAATTTTTTTTGTGCTGTTCGACACAGTTTCACGTAAGGATCATTTCATTGTATGAGACGAAAAAATCGGGGGTTGATCAGTAGAAGGTGGTTACAAGTATATTATTACATTATGTACATAGTTATAGCTTATGGCCAGGCTAAATAAGTAAGTCAGTCGGTAGAGCACTATGGGTATTTATTACTATAAAAAACGGGGCACAGAGATATTACACAAATACTACGACGTAAGTAAATACTTATAACAGGAACTAATACAAAATTACAGCAGAAAAGACGCGCGCACACACGCAACCAGTGTTAGGGTCGTATTCTAGAACTCTACTCAATG